CTCGACTTGCTCGCAGGTCATCGCCATTTTTAACCAACACACAATTCTTTGGTAAGATCAGAAGTGCTGGAAAAAAACATAAAAATGTTAACTTTACAGCACTGATAGAAATTCATAATCATGTCTGTCTGAATAAAATTCAGAAATTCTATCAACTTCTTGTAAAATAACTGCTTTACATTTTAACGGTTTAAATAACTATGCTCTCTAAACTCTTTCTTAAGATAGGAAATTGTTAGAATAATAATTACATAGTGAGTCTTTCCGCTAAATTCCCTTTGAATAACCTATTGTTTTAAAATATATTGGTCAAATTTTCTTTCATTACTTTCAACCAACGACCAAATAAAATTTGAGCAAAATGTTTATGCTGCTTCTTGGAAGTTTCTGTCTATACATAATTGGAAACTTCTGGACAACCTCAGTTATGCAAAAACATTTGTACCAAGTCAATGCAGTAAGAGAGGAAAACTTTTTGATACAAAATTCCAATAGGGAAAGTGCCGAAATTCAATAGACAATATAATTTGAGCATTATTGCAACAGGGTACAGGATAGACAGATCACTGTGATCCATGCTGAAAGTTTTAAAATTTATGATTAAATAAATGTATCTGGTCCTTCAAATACAAAGGTTCAAACTACAAAGGACCAGATACATTTTCACTTTGTACACCATGTCACCAAATGATGTCTGGCAGATCCTTATTAACATGTTAACAGAGGACCAGAGACAAATGGACCTTTTATAGATGAGAAGAGAAGAAAGGAGGATGGATAAACATCTTCTCATTCTCTTTGAGTCTCACCAGGAAGACTGGCTCATAGGGACTCCAGGCCACCCCACACATACCTGACATCATTCTCACCATCACAACAGATCCCTACAAAGACCAGCAAATATGTAAGAGAAACACTTTAACTTTCACTCAAACTCAATGAAACAAGACATAAAGGGTTCCTAAAAAATCTGCCCTTCTTACAAGGGAAGATAGGCCACAAAATAATTTCCTCGCCCCCCCAGACAGCCTCAGCAAACCATGGCTGCACACAGCAAAGCCGGGAGGAAGGACAACTGTGCATGTTACACCAATCGGATCAGAAGGGAAGGCAATGTTGAAAGCAGAGATACTGACGTAAAGGAGAGTAGCAGAGCAATAATTCTATCACCAGCTCTGCCACAGTCATCACCTATGGTCTTGGGAAAAACTTCTTAAACTCTCTTTGGTCTGCATCTGCAGAATGCTGCTATTTCCCTGCTTGACACAGACGCTGCCAAGTGCTCAGACAAAAATTTCTACAGAAAGATATGCACTTCCACTGAATAGCATGCACTTCTTAACTTTTCACTTGTAACAGTTTGAATGAACCGCTTTAAACAAGACACCGGGCTGCAAAGGAACAGCGAATATAAACCTAACAAATAACTGTTTCCTTCACTAAGTTCTGTCATTTCCTGTGCAATGAATGAGCAGGGATCCTGTAGAAAAAAAACAGAATGTAAATCTATAATTAAATACATATGCATAATAGGGGAAAAAAAAATGTAAGAGCATGAAGAATATTAAAATTTGTGTTTTTCGCAATTCTCTACTGCTTCATTTTACAGTACAAATTAGTCGCTGTCCTCCCATTCCTTAGGGAGAGAAAATTCATTTTGAAAATAGGTATTTTGGAACGTGGAATAATTTTGAGGAGAAGCAGGATACATCACTGAGTAACTTCAGTAGTGACTAAGGCAGAAACCTCCTCCGTTATTCTATACACATCCTTTCCTACGCACATATTATCGACCCTGTTTTACCAGCCTCTGTAGACGTAGCGGGACTGAAATCCCATACAGACTGCACATGCATCCATCCTGTAACGAGAATCATCTATTCAGTAGAAGTTTCCACTCGGATTAAATGCTTTCATTCTCCGAGCCAATGAAATACTGGAGGTTGGTTAGTTTAACTGTGCGACATAACCCATTCACAAAATGAAAGTGCAAAACCCCCAAAGTTTCACTGAAGCAGACTGGCAATCAGCGAGATCCTTCCTCTTAAATACCAAGCTTTCATCACCTTCAATGGAAATGCTAGAGCTCTTCCTGAGAGCAGCCAAAAATCTCAGCTACCTGAAAAGCTACATCTCCCCCATTTGTTGGTGGTTTTTGTTTTTAATGGCTTATCTACATCTTATAAAATACTCAGTAAATGGGATTTATTCCTTGCCTGGACTCACTGGGTCCAAGTTTCAGGTTGAAATGATAAAGAGCAAATTTTAAGAATCTGAAGTAATCCATGGAAAAACTTGAGCAGCTTTAGTACAGGCACGGCAACTTATTCTCAAAAAGTGTTTATGAAGTTCTGCACAAAGTTTAAAACAAACAAAATTTTACTCTGGTTCATTATTAGAAATAATAATTATTAAGAACAAAGCAAAATGATGGCTAACTGCAATCCGTCATCAGAGAATCTAAATTTAATCTTGTGTACTAGAATGCGGCTCCTGCTACAGAAATGCATTCAGATCTAACAACCTAAAGCAGTTTCCTAACCTCCCCACTCACAGTAGGTACCTATTATTAGCAATAGGAGTTAGTTTTCCAAATAGGGCATGTGAATTTCTCTTTTCTGGTTTTAGGAAGAATACTTCAAAAAAACATACTGAAAAAGCGCTGTTCATTGCTTTAAGTATGTATTTTCTGACGGGGCATTCTGTTTCATGGTTGCACTTTTAAAATGTCAAATGATCAGAATAAGAATTTCCATGCATTTTGGATAAACAGTAAGTCTAGAACAGGGACTTAAAAGCAAAAAGCACAAAGAAAACATAATACAGATGTTAAAAATATAACAAAAATAAATGATCTCAGAAGACCCAAATTACTTCGGCTTTATTTATCAGGAGTCATCTCTACCAGGGCAAGCCTAAGCTAAGGAGAGGCACTAGTTACAGAATAGATAGAAAAATTATTTCAGTATTGTATATTTTAAACCCTGATTTAAATGCTCCTGAAAATCTGCAATCAGTGAAAGCACTCAAACTATAGGTGTAGGACTTCTCCTCTCTGGCTATTAAAAAGTTAAGTTCACTCAGCATTTTTATTTTTAACTGGAGAGCCTTGAAGTTAAAGTTTAGACTTCTTTCTTATTCCTCTTCTGTAAAAACGATGCTACTTAGAGCTGCGGTGAATGCTTTCGGTCTTTTCAAGGTAACAGGGAAGACAGAGAGCTCCAGGCAGGTTAAAAATCCCTATATATGTGTAGTGACTTGTTTTTAAACATTTTTAAACATAACACTCCCTTAATCTTTCCATCAATTACTATTACAGGCTGCTTTTGTCGAGTACTTCCAGCAGCCTATTGCACACCGTGCATCAGGAGCTGCAGGCCCGAGGCCAGGAAGGTGTGGAACACGTCTTCACAGGTCAGCTTCCACCCTCCAAGTTTTCAAGTATTTCAGAGAAGGTCATGTTACAGCACAGATTTACATAGCAGACAAATTACATGACTGCCTGTTCTCAGCATTTCATAATTTCAATTAAAAAAATAGGTCAAATGAAAGGGGAG